CCATCTTTTCCATTTTTATAGCTAGCACCACTGTGTCCCCCCCCCACAGACATTTGCTTTCCTCTTCCTCATTTCAAGATTCCTCTGCCAGAACACTGGGTGTGCCCTGAGAATCCATGATGAAAGCCACCTTTGAAGGTCAGTCAGCTAATCACTAATGCTAATTTCCACACACAAACTCCCTTTTTGTTGTAAGGTAAGAAAGATATCATGTCATGCTCATTGATTTTTACAAATTATGGTGCATTCATTGTTAGAAGAATATATTTTTCTGCCCTGATGATGATGGTCACCTGAGGATCACAAGTCACAATTTAAGGTCATTTTGTGTTAGGGGGATACAAATATATCAATCAATCAATCAATCAATCATCATCGTCATCATCATCATCATCAAGCCAAATTAAACAAAAAAGCAAGAAAAGGACCTGTGCTGTATTATAGATGTAGACTTCCTCCTTCTCACTATAAAGATATTGTTAGTTGGGAAAGAATGTTGAAAGTCAATGAGAGTACCTTGTAATTGCTAGCAATTTTCCTGAAATGGGACTTGATGCTTTGTTCCTAACAGGCTAAACACATAAGTGGATAAAGGGGATAAAGGACTGTTATAAAGTCAAGTGCTGTGTTTGGGGATTATCCCTCAATGGTGAATGCTCACTTAGCAAATGTAAGTCCTGAACTCAAACTCTGGAAACACACACATGCCAGGTGGGTCTCAGGGCTCTGAAGGCAAAGGGAGGCTTAGTTCCCCTTTCTGGTAGTGGTAGGTGTAAATCTTTCTCATTAATGGCAGAAATGGTAAATTGAACTCACTTTTATAAAAACCACTGATTGCAAATGCCTTCATGGCAAATGGAGAACCAGAGAGCTTTGGACAGTGTTTCTCATATAAGGATGGCATGTAAAAGCCATGAATTTTCCTTATGTACTAGTGGGGTAGGCAAAGACATTCATGGATAGACTCCTGAGGTCTAATATGACCTCACAGTGAGATGAAGAATACCAAACAGCCGATACCAAAGTGGATCACACGCCTGTGAGTCAGGTGGGAGTGTAGAAGTTCTTGTATGTATAAAAATGAAAGTAAGATGGATAGTGTCAGAAGAGGTAGCAGGTATCAGCGAGAGGTGACAGTACAACACCTGGCATCCTCATGACCCCTTTGGATGTTTAAGAAGAAGTGGGAGGAAAAAGACCAGAATTGACAAGAATTCATTTTCTACTCCCAATAGACATAGCAGGTCATAATATGAAATCAGTTTCAGAAACATCATAGACTGTTCTCCTCAATTCAGGTACTCATAAACTTGTGTAGTCCCAATATCATATACTCTATATACAAGCATTATTAATACAGTCTTGTCTCATACAGAAATAGTGTTTTACATATGCAAAACATTGTCCATCGATTTATTTAATTTTTCTTTTTATCAAATATTTGAGTATATAGTGTGTGTGCACTTATATATGAATGTTTGCATATGTATGAGTACATGTGTGTGGGGGGTACATATGTGTGTGCACATGTGACCATGTGCATGTGTGGCACCATGTTGATATCAAGAATCTTCTTCTATTGTTCCTTTCTTAACCTCAGTCCTTGAAGCAGGGTTTCTCAGTCAAGCTCAGAGCTTACTGATACAGCTAGTGTTGATAGCAAGCTTACTCCCGGGATCTCATGTGTCTGCTTTCTGATGCAGCAATTACAGGTAGGCTGCGATACCCACTCAGCATTAGTGTGGCTTCTGGGGACCAGACCTCTGGTCCTCTTGCTTGCACAGCAAACCCTTTAGTTGGTGAGCCATCTCCCAGCCCTCTGCTGTGCTCTTTCACACTGCAGGAAATCTGTGCATTTAAGAACTGTTGTTCCATTTGGGAGTATTAAGAAACTGAGAGACCAGTGTTGATTCCACAGCTAGGCAATTATCAAATCATGACCAAAACCCATCTCATTCAAGTCAACCCATCTCACTCCTCTCAGCTTGGCAGGAAAACAACTCTAGGAGGATATTAAAATGTGGTCTTGGTCCTGTATCCTGCCACCTGGTAGTAAGACCTCTGGAAGTCACTCTATTGCCCACAGACTCATTCATCCATGGGGGAATACTCATGTTGCACTTCAGTGTAAGGGGCTGTTCGTTCGTTTGCTTATTTTAATGTAAAGTGTAATGGGGTTGGGGAGACAGCCCAGTTGAAGTGCTTATGTTGCAAGCATGAGGAACTGAGTTTGATTCCCCAGAAGTCACATTTTCAATAGGGAAGAGGGCGATGCATTGTTGGCATGTGCTTATGATCCCAGTGTGGTAGAGTCAAAGACAGGCAGATACCCAGGGCCGCTGGCCAGCCAGCCTCGCCTACTAGGCTTATGCCAGTGAGAGATCCTGCCTCCAAAGAACATAAAAAGCCTGAAGAATGACATTAGAGGTTGTCCCTTCCCATTTCATGCAAGCCCACACATGTGCACCTCCACACATATGAACACACACATACACAAATAAGAGGTGTGATCATTTTTTATGTCAGATGAAGTTTCTTAGGAGAAGGGGCATAAGAAATAAAACAGTAAAGGGATATTACACCATCTAGTCCATTGCAGCAGAGTCTGCCTAACATCCATTGTACTGGAGAGTTTTAAACAGTATCCTCTTACTATAGAAGGAAAGTTTCTAAAAACTTATAAGATTATTAAAGTTTCTCTTAACCTACAGAAAATGCCTTTCTCTCCTCTTATTTTTCCAGATTATGTTAATGAACAGGAAGGAGAGACACCCTGCCCCCAGACATGCACACCACACCACAGCACACTATGCTCACGGAGGTTCACCCCCATTCTGCGTCCTGAGTTTTATTCCTCAAGGACATCAATCCTTATGAAGAAAGAAGTTAAGTATTTGAGGAAAGAGAAATGATGGCAAGCTCTTGACAAAAGTTACTATCATGCTTTGGAGACACAAATTTGGAAAATTCACTGGAATTATTTGTCCACTGATCTGCTCTACAATGTGAGCAAATCTCCCTCTTCCTCACTGGGTCTCATTTTTTCCAGTATGAAGGCTGAAGGGTTGACTACAATGCTCTGAATCAGATTTGTAGCACATAGACCAGCACAGCCTCCACAACTACTACCCTTCTCGTTAGTTTCTGGGACTCACATGTTCTTGGGAGTCTGTATCTGTATCTATTTCAGCTACAAGTTTCAAATCTGGCTGCCTCTGGCTAAAATTCTCAACACAACTTATTTGGAGATAAGTCAGGCTGATCTCCTTGACCCCAGGATTGACTAGTGAAGGACTACGGGTGAAAATTCAGTTTGCCCAATGACATATTCCAGTGTTTGTCATTAGAGTGAATAAGATAGGGGTGTTCTTGTCCTACAGGACTCAGAGTAAAGAAGCTGTAGCTGGCCAGAGAATGACACAATATGAAAGAAAACAGAAGTAGGAATTGTAACGTGATTCTGATCCAGCTGCTTGAGCCTCTTAAACTAAGTGTACCTGAATGTTACCTATGGGAATGGGATTTTACTTTTTGCCTGAAATACTCTGTGTCAACTTTCTGTCACAGTCCTGAAAACTGAAGTGACTAAACTCCTCACCCAGCTCTTAAGAAAGTCCTGTTGATTTCTGAATCTAAGATACAGTTTTATTGCTTCTTCTCATATTCTAGAAGCTTCTTTTACTAGTTTCTTAGCTATTTCTTCACTGCTTTAGGGATGTGTCAACAGTGTATTCCATCTTTCTAGGGTCTCATTTGGAGAACTTAGTCTAGAAAACAGTGATTCCCATTACTGACCCTGCCTCTTTCTGCTTCCTGTTCTTACTGAGATGAATACCGCGGGTACACTGAGTTGAGTCAACTCATTTTCTGAGTCCTCACTCAGCTTATTGGTTGAGAAAAGTCTGTCTGCACTATAAAATATTTCAGGTGATGTAAAAAAGGTAAGTACAGACAATCACAACATCACTACTACTTCCCAGGTGGGAGGGGCATGGCTTCAGAAAGGACAAAGATCTAAAAGCATGTCCACTTATTTGTTCCAAAGGCTGGCAGAGAAATTGACTGTAAGTGAAGGGCAAGAAGCATTAAACAAGCAGCGTGTTCAAAGAATAGCATCTAATCAGGTCCATTTGGCTCTAGTGCGGAATGAAGTCAAGTGATGAGCGATGTACAAAGAGGACTTGGGAAGGAGCCAAATGAAGCGCACTGAATACCAGCCTGAGCCTGTCTGGCAATTGCAATGCTTTCCAAGCATGTGTCTGGACTCCCCCCCATTTCAACATGCACATACACATATGCATAAAAATTTCAAGTTCATGAGACATAACCTCCTCTATAGTTGTAGCTTTGGAACCAAAAATTTGGACAACTACCCTAGGATAGTCTTAAAAAACAAGCCATCAATTTCAGAATGCTTTTTCATAGGCAACAATGATCTTCACTTACTGTCTCCAGTGTTGTTACTTCATACTAGATACTAGCATCCCACGAAAGAAAAGGTTCCCTTCCCTTTACCCTCACCCCTTGTTTTGGCAATCTGCACCGTTTTCTTAATACCAAAGTGACATGTTTCAAAGTCATGTCTACTACCAACTTCCAAAGGAAGCCAAACACCAGCCTTGGGTCTAAGCTGGCCCATCTTCTAAACCACACCAAAGACTCTATACTGGGTACTGTTTTCATCTTTTTGACATTCCTCTACCTACATTGTGTTCGCAGAGCTAAAACATGTTGTGTTTTAATATCAGAATCACTGCAAACTTCTAGAATCCAAAACCTGTCCAGAAGGACACTTAAGTTATACTACCTCATTTTATTTTCCTAATATTAGCAATAGGTAAATATAGTCATCCCACCACAGAGGAGGAAACGCCAGAAGCCTGGTGACTGAAGGGATACAGAGGCAGTAGTTTTAAGCAATGTGATTCTCTTTCACCCATGTCCTCTTGCAGTGAGGGGCCCCCAGTATGTGAAAAGCTCCTGGGTCAATGAGAACTCACCACACATCCTGAGGAATCCACCTGGCGGTCAGACACACACTTGAAATTGCGAGTGCAGCCCCCGTTGTTCCTTGAGCAGTCACGGACTGGACCAAAGGAGGACAGCAAGTCATTGATGGTTTCAAAGTAGGTAGACAGCATCGCTTCTTCCCTTGGAAAAAAAGGGCATGGTTAAACCTCAGAGATGTCTGCATCACTGTCTTTTAATTAATATAAATTCAACACACTTGAGATATATTGATATAAATTTAAGGTTATTTTTGTTTATATATATATTTCTACTCTTATTTAAGGTATTGTACCTATGCAGATCATTTAATAATGTAATGTAAATTTCTAGTCCTTGAAAGTTATTATTACAAACTAGTTGGATAATTAAGAAACACAGGTTATTAGGTCATCTCACAATCAAATTTGTGGCCATGTTAGGTATGTTTTCCAGGTCAAACAGAGATATATTTTAGATAGATGGTCTTCAAACTCTCCACAGACCTATAGAATATGACATTTAAAATGTGTTAGCAACATAAGGCTTTCATAAAACTGAAACATACCTGCTCCTGGCAGCACCAATTTACCTCTAAAAGTATGATAGGCATTGAAAGCAAACTACATGAGTTTGCCACTGGGCAAGAAACTGCCTTTGCCTCGACTGATGACAATATGCTATCCAAATTAGACAAGCAGGACATAAAAGGTGACTGCCAAACTTTGACAAGACAAGGTAGAACAGTCTTTCAAAATTCTTGCTTCACAGAAAAGTCTGTCAAACATTCTAGGCCTGGAGGTTGAAGATGGATGCCCCAATATTGCAGAGAAAACTTGTGTGACTTTACAGACTGCCAGAAGTCTCTGTCCTTTTTGTACTTTTGGAAGTTATTTGCTCTGCACTTCCTGTTTACTCAGGTAATATTTTCTACTTCTTGAGTCTCTGATGAGGGTTGAAGGCTAGTTAGTTAATATCATTTTCTTTGTTACTAAGTTCAAAAAGAAACTTTTAAAAGATATGTAAAGTTTATAAAGGTTGAGAGACATAAAAGTTTATTTGTTTATCTAAGAAAGTATTTTGAGATCAAAAAGACAGTTTTTAAATGGTAATACAAGTCATGATAAAAAGTGGTTTAGGTATAAAACTTAAATTCTTCAAGATAGAAGAGATAAATAGAATATTTTCTCTAAATATTCCTAATACAAATGGACTGAACATTGTGAAGGTAATTCTTACCTGATAATTTTTCTTATTGTTTTTAGTTTTACTATGTTAGAGTTAAAACCTTTCCTTTTATTTAGACAAAAAGGGGGAAATGTTATGTAATATTTATACTGTGTGTGAGGATGTATTACTGTCATTGGTGTAATAAAAATCTAGACAGCCAATATCTAGGCAAGACAGTGTAGATGGGACTTCCTGGCAGACAGAGAACTCTGAAAAGAAGAAAGGCAGAGTCACCAGCCAAATGTGGTGGGATGGACAGTACAGAGATGAGGTCACAAGCAATGTGGAAGAATGTAGATTTGAAAACATGGGTCAATTTTCGTCATAAGAACTAGTAAGTACCAAGCAGAAGCTAAAGTCAAGCTTTCATAATTAATAATAAGTCTCCATGTCATTATTTGTGGACTGGTGGTCCCAATGAGAAAATAGTACTACAATGATTCCCACACAAGCAGTGACTACCAGGGATGCCTCTGATGATTGGCAGTGAACTTGGTAAGTCCTAGCTCTAATTAGATATTCCTTTGTTCGATCACTCCTCAGTACTTCCTGAAGGCACCTAGAGTAGTTTACTTGGCTCTCATGGCTCTTCATAATCTCTTTCCTGGATACACATTAATGATGGCTGTTTTTAGTTATCACCTTGACTACATCTGGAATTAACTAATACCCAAGTGGCTGGGTACACCTGTGAGGGATCTTTTTTCTCAATTGAATTATTTGAAGTGGGAATACCAACTTTTAATCTGGGCTTGCTCTTTCTAGTGCCCTCAGGCAAGTCTACTCCTTCATTGATATTAGAGATTACTTCTTCAGGATTCTGGTGTATACTGAAGAAGCTGAGACATCCAGCATCATGGACTGAACAACTACTGGAGTTTGGACCATCTTTGACAGCCATTGTTTGACTTCCTAGACCACAGGCTGTCTAAGACATTAAAAAACTTATACAAACACATATATATATTCATGTATACACATATATATGTATATATGACTATCAGTTTTCTTGGCTCCCATGGCTCTTCAAAATCTCATAATCTTCATAATTTCTTCCCTGGAGATACGTGTGTGTGTGTGTGTGTGTGTGTGTGTGTGTGTGTGTGTGTGAGACAAAACAGACAAAAGTTTCTGATATTATTTTATGGAATATATATTTATTAATATAATGTATTTATTCATATATTCATTCTATCATTTCTGTTCCTCTAGAGGACCTTAACTAACATACTATCCAACCATATTTACCTTATCCTCATATTTTCTACTCCTTGGTTTCCTGCTTCTCATTCTTTGAAAACCGAATTTTAAGTCAGTTTTCGTGAAAATAGAGTCTAGAATGCAATTATACATAGGGGGATGACTGGGGACCCCTCCTGGGAGATGTATCTGTACAAAGTAACCAAGTCAGGGTTCGGTGAAAGACCCACAGTAAAGCCTCAGTTGATCCCATGGGGAGCTCAAGGGTTGTGAGGCTCTTCATTGACATCTCTGATGATAACAAGAGATCTGGAACTTTGCATTCCCACATCCTCTGGCCATTGCAAGGACTGCAATCTGGAAGTGAGCAAGAGGGAACTACTGGGTGAGGAAGTTCCCTGTGGCTTATAAGACACCAAAGAGTCAGGCCATTAGCTACTCATGTTCCCATCTGGAGGATGAGTCATCCCAGAAGATAGAATACAGATCAGTGTGTGCAGACTGAGTACTACCCAAAATGCTTGGGACTAGAAGTGTCTCCACTTAGGAGTTTCAGGGGTGCAGAACAGTGTAGATTGCATAGATGGCATAAGTTATTATTCAATAAACCTAATCAAAAATCTGAAGTTTAAAATGCTATAAAACCTTCAATTTTCAGCATTGTCCTACAACCTGTATCCTCACTCACCTCTTGGAATGCTGAAACACACTTTCCTTTCTAAGATACTCATTTCTGAATTCTTTTCCTGATGAACTCCCAAGATGCCTTGAGAACTGAGTAAAATAATTCATTCACTCACTAATACTTGCATACATAGAGACATAAATTTTACATTTTTATTAACTGGATAGTTAATCTCCAGTAGACCCTGTTCTATGTCCTGGGATACAGCTGTGACCCTGGACAAGTCCTTATCACTGCACGACATTGTTCCCTCATTTAGAGAGTCTTCTCTTCCCACTGGATTGAATTCCTATATCTTGGGAGTACATTGCTTAAATCTGTGACATAACTGATTGTTATTACCAGTTCCATTATCTATTACAGAGACGGCATGTGTTTGGAGGAAAGGGTTTAGGATATATTCATGCCTATATAGTTCCCAAGAAGAGGCTGGAGGAATTTGGACTGGGTAAGTATTTTCAAATGAAACAAAGAAAACATGAGAAAGCATAGATACAGTCTGCATGAAACCTGTACTTTTACAGGACATGGCATCCCCTGTTATGACCCTGCGTTCCCATTCCAGGTCCTTCACGTTGCTTCTATAGAAAGAGACTATGGAGATTACACAAACAGACTTGTGTCAGTGTCCCTAACATAGGATAGAGTGAGGTGACAAGTATATGGATTGGGGAGTTGCCAGTTACAAAATGAAGTTCTTAGGAAACTTGTCGTGTTTGAGGCTTGGAAAAAGGTGAAGATGTTGGGAAGACACAAAGTTTTAAAATGTTGTCACAACCAGAGGTTTTAGAAAAGGCAAAGGCAAGTGGGAGACATAAACCAGAGGAAAGGGGATGTGAGAAAATGAGAACAAGAAAGGAGACAAGCACGGAGCAATGGCTGGGAAAAGAAAGCAACTGAGGCACAGGCCCGTCGTCTCTCAGAGCAAGACGAGCAAAGAGAAGTAGAAAACAGACAGGAAGACAGATAGGTGGGCAGGCAGGCCAGCAGGAAGAGAGATACATGCACAGAAAGGAGTTCATCAGAGATTAGATGACAGCCAATTGGGGACTGAAGGAGTATATGAAAACAGAGTTCAAAATGGAGGAAGAATAGAAGGAAGAGGGAAATGAAGAAGTTCGAAAATTCATAGAAAGAGGAGGGGCACGAAGGATGAGAAAGACTCAGAAAGACAGAAGAGGTAAGTGATAGACAGAGTGGAAAATCAAAGCGTGACAGAAAAAACAAAAGAGAAGTGAAAACTAAGCGGAAGATGCCACCTTTCCGTGGGGTCGAGGGACTACGGATGAGCAGACTGCTGGCTTTTACAGAGACCCCTTCTGCACGAACATCAGTTACGTAGGGGAGCTCTGCTAAAACACAAAGGCTTGACACAGGGCTCTTAAGGCTAAGCCAAGAGGGGCGATTATGGCCGACAGGAAATGAAGCAGCTAGGCATAGAGGCGAAAGGAGTTCAGGGCAGACATCAGCTTTCTTTTCTCTTGAAGGCTTGAAGACTCATTCCGTCATTGTGGCCTAAGTCTATGTTTGGGGGGGGCAGGATCCGTTGTATTTCAGCACTGCCCCAGTAACGTGGGGAGGGGTGACAAAGGGTTTAATAGGTGCCCCAGAGGCGGAGGCAAGTTGGATTGATAGGTGTAAGATAAGAGCACCAGGACACCTGCATGAGAATCTAGTCCTTGACAAAATTTACCACCACCATCAACCCCATCTTCCCAAATAGTGATTTCCTGGACACATCCTGTGTGGCTTCCCTTCCTGTGCAATTGCTTTTGATTTTCTAATGGCCCTGTCAGCTACAGATCTTTCCTTCCATTGGGCAGGTTTGTCACTTTCTCTGGTCACTCAGGCAAGGGAAGGCTGTGCACGCATATCCACTGGAGTTCTTCCACTTCACAGTCGAGCAGCAACAAACTGTTGTTGATGCCAGAAAGGAGCTCCCAAAGCAGTTAAGGCAGTGAACATCGGTGTCTGCTTCCTCTGTGACTCAGAAGAAGTTGGAAGGAGTAAACCCGTTTGTTCTTTGTTCAATCCCCACACTGATTTCTGG